GTTTTTTGGTTTAACTTAATTTTTTTTATAATATTATTATTTTATTATTAAAATTGTATCGTAAAACACAAATAATCAAGTTAGAAGGGTCTTAATTCATTTATTATCATGTAACTGTAGTAAAATTTCATCTATAAAAAATTCTTTTATGTTGGTTACATGATGCATTTTTTAGCATATCAGCCTTTTCAGTCTAATGAGGCATAGTATAATGAAAGCAAATTTGTTTAGAGTCCAACCATGATTTTCATATGATGTTTATGTATATGATAACTTGTATCCCTTTGCATGGCAGAAAAAAAAAAAACCCTAATAATTTGGGAATTTCATCATTAATTAGGAAACACTTTATCGTTTGTGTTGGGCAGCTTCTTCTTTTTTAGTTTCTTTCATATCATCAAATGACTGTTCTCGGAAAAATTTCTAAATATCTTATGCTCCATAGATTTAAACATTATGATGTCAAAATTGCTTTTTTATATTATATAATCCTTAAATACATCCAATTAATTTTTGAGAAATTCTAGCATGTGCCTTGAGCGTTATTTATTATTGTATTTGTAATTAATTTTGTATAAATTTAATAAAAATTCAAATTAAATATAATAGTTATAATCAAAATCTATAAAAGGATATGCATTTGGTTTGAAAACTTGTACAAATTAATTATAGATGTCATAATTAATGAAGTTTAATTAACTTGTATTCTTAAAAATACAAGTTAGACAAACCCTTATTTTTAAAATTTAATGTGCATGATTTACATATATAAGACATTTTTTTGCCAATGAATTATTCAATAGTGTATCATCCTTACTTAGATATATATTCAATCAAATTAAAATTAAAATTTAGCATGCATAATTTACTTTCACAATCATGCATTCATGGGCATAAATCTTTTATGTTTGATTATGTTTGGGCGAGAGGGATTGATTGGAAGATTTAACTGCATTAGAAGATTTGGTACATATATAACTACATATAATATGTGGGGAACCCTAAACAAGAGGGAGGTTGTGGAGCAGAACATGTACAACACAACCAAGAAGTTGGCTGGGAGTTTAGATTTCTTGTCCACAAGCTTGTGTCCAGTTCAAACACGGTGAACACTTTGTTTCTTTTCATTATCTCAAGTGAAACAATTGCCTAAAATCATCAAGGACAACAAAACAAAACAGAAGAGAAAAAGAGGCATCAACATGGCCCATCCATGGCTGCATCGCTTTGTCCCCTGCAAACTCCATTATCAATAATATTCAATATTTGGTAGAACTTGGAAACATTATACAGTTTGTCCTGCGTTCATCGTGGGCTATTGTCGTTTGTCACCCCTCCTGACCCACACGCACCGCCCCTTTGTCCTCATACTGCTATTATTGGAGTATTGGTTTTGGGACCAAGTGTTTGATCTGCATGGTTAAATGAGTACAATTGAGCATTATCTCCATGCCCAAGAGGAATTTTGGTTGTTTACATTTTATCTTTCTAACACCAAGGAACTTTGCCATGTGATGCGCAGACTTTAAGTGGGAAGAATGAATTAGGTGACGGGTTGCTTTAAGGGAAAGCAAAGATTTTTTACAGCAGAGGAGAAAACGACACACAAAAGTCTACAGAGAGAAGTAGCTGTAAAGCGGGATCCAAAGTTCTTTCTAGATATTGCACTGTTTTAAACAGTCAAATCCCTTGGCGTAAGCAAAATACAAAATATGTGTACTGATAATCCATGAAAACTAGAATCAAGAATCTTCATCAACAGAATCGTGCAGCTAAAATGGCTTAAAATGCAGAGTAGTTCCTTTCATCAAATATAAAAGCGAGATCTCATTACACCCAGCTCAGTGACATACGATTTCAAATAAAGAGTGGTTAAATGGCTAATAAGATTTAAAAAATACCAAATCACTGACCCAATATGTCCATTGACCTAATAGACTTGGCATAAAATTCTGGATTTATAGACTGATGTACAGAGTTGCATTACAGAGTCGCAAATGGTGCTTCTGAACAAATTAATGATTATGTGACTTGCAGGGCATCTATGATGATTAGGAGCATTTTGATCTACCACAAATCAAAAGTGTTTACTTGCTCCCTGACTTCTCTAGATTTTTTTGGTCCATAGTGTTAGCATATATAAACTATATATACAACATGTCAAATACAAAGGAATTGTAGAAGTCAAGGCAGCCTCGTGGCTGCTAAATGAAAACCCTCAATGCATTAATAATAACCGCGTCAACTATATGGGTGTAAAAATGTTCAATCATAAACAGTCTCCTCATCTATCTGATCCTGCAGATTATACCCTTCTTCTCTCATGACACTAAGTAATCCTTCCAACATCATGTATATCTCTTCAGTTTTTTCACTTGACCTATCCTTTGCAACAAAGCTTTGTAGACCTCCACTAGTTTCAATCCAGCTAGTCCCTGGGATCTTCTTTAACCCAATCTTCTTCATCCTCTCTCTGACCATATCAGCTTCTTCCCATCTCCCAGCTCGTGAATACAAGTTTGCCATGATTATATAATTGCCAGTGTTTTCAGGTTCCATCTCAAACAAATGATCACAAACAAACTTCCCAAGTTCAGCATCACCAGCAACTGAAGCCCCATTCAGCAATGCACCCCAAACCTTAGGACTTGGTTGAATTGGCATTTTAGAGACGAGTTCTGTTGCTTCAGAGAGCCTTCCAGCTCGGCTTAAAACCCCTACCATACAAGCATGGTGCTCAACTGAGGGCTCAATTCCATACTCCGGAAGCATTGCATCAAAGATTCTTTGGGCTTTGTCTACCATTCCAGAATGAGCACAAGCTGTCAAAACTGCTGTGAATGTAACGTTATCTGGCTGAATCCCATTATTCAACATCTCATCAAAATGACTCAGGGCTGCATTAGCATCTCCATGGGAGGCATATGCAGCAATTATTGCTGTCCAAAGAATCAAGCTCCTGGACTTTGACTGATCAAAAACCTGTTTTGCACCATGAAGAAATCCCAACTTAGCATAAGAATCAATAATGGCAGTTGCAACATATATATTATTATGATCATAATTGTTCCTAA